GCTGTGCGCTCCTGCATGTGCATCGAGCGTCGACATTGCGGGGGGCAACAGCAGCAGCAGCAGACGTGTCAGTTTGGACTGTGTTTTGGGGAATGTAACTATGAGCAGCCTTGTTTTTTAAGGCTTTTTCTGGACTGTGTCGCAGCAGGCTGATGGCACCAGGCGAATAGCCGCGCTCATTTAACCGCTCATGATTTATCGCCGCATGCCGACAGTGAAATACCTCCAGACACGCCACGCTGGCTGCGCATGTTGCAAATAAATAAATAGGCAGAGGCGCAGCCATGCAATTGCTTGCTCATCCCACTGCTGGCTAAAGGTGCCTCCACCAGAGGGAGCTCTATAGGGTATTTGGCCTCCTCTTCCACGCTTACCAGACATCTTGGAAGAGACGGGGGGCGGGGGGGGGAGTACCGACAGTCTGCCCTACCGTACATGACCTGCCGATAGACTGTGTAATTGTAATATAAAGGGGCAGGGTGAGGGAGGCGGGGCGGCATTAAAAAAAACTCTATTTGAAAGGGGCACTGAAGAGAAGTAACCGTCAATGCTGCTGTGTACAGTGGCCTTTTTCAAGCGACGGGATCTATTTTTTTCTTTCACACATCAGCAAATGAGCGGGCGGTGTGATTGCTGGGTCAACGCAGAGAATGATCATCCGAGATGCTACGGAACCTCAACTGCCGAACTTTGAACCCAGACTCGAAAAGCTCCCTTGAACCGTGTTTTTACACTGCCTAATCACGAGGACGGGACCGGGCGATCCCCAGATAGAGGAGGAGGAGTGGGGAGGGTCGCCTTGCACAATGTCTGGGTTTGACATTTTTAGTGAAGATATGTATTTAACAAGCGGACTCTCCGCGCACCGCACGTCCCCCAATTTGCTGTCAACAAAATCAGCGCGGGGCCGGATGTGCGTTTTTTTTTGCGAGCGCAAAACGAGCGCGTCTCGCCCTCGCTGCACGCGCCACAATTTCACCGCCGCGGCTCCGTCATTTAACTCTTTATAGCACCGTGCGAAGGAAGAGAGGCCCCAATGTGCCGCAATTTCTGATGAACACTTTGAAATAAATTTCCGACAACTTCAAAGCCCCGAGGTGTGGTTCAATCCACTTTCCTTCTACCCAGACGTCGGTGCGTTTATGCGAGAACCTTCAGAATGTTCCGTGAAAGTGCAGTGCATTTTTGCCCGTGCACAGCGCTGTTGACGCAGCGCGTCCCCGGGGAGGTTTACAATGAAAAAAAAACTCGGACAAATAACAAAAACCATCGGCATATCGGTTCGGCTCAAGGATGAGCGAATGCCAAAAGAATATGGCTTCAAATTTAACTTTAAATATTCGACTGTGCCTTGCTTTCCTGAAGTGACTTGGACCGGAGTTCCAGAGGCATGGAGCCGCACAATTAAAGGAGCTTGCCACCCTTCCTGATTTTTTTTAACGCCTTTTGGGAACCACCAAGAGTTAAGCATTGACCAATCTCAACGTGTGACCGGGAGCACAAGGCACCGATAGTTCCTGTAAATATAAAAGCCCCAAAACCATGAAGGTCCTTATAAATGTGTACTTCTGCACTTGTGCGTTTTCTCCGTATGCTCCTGTTTTCATACAACATGAAATAAAAAAAACAAAGGTGATTTGTTTTTTGTTTTACCTCAAGTGGCTACCCCACCCTCCTCAATGGAGAACGGTGACCGCTGAGAGATTATTATTACACGCTTTTTATTAACTCGCACTGTCTGTTGCATCCTCAAATATTGTAACTCAATTTTAACCCACTTCCCAATGTGGTATCGACCTGCAAACTTGGTATACTTACGTCATACTGATGACAATTCTATATTATATCATTAAAAATTAAAAAATATATATTTGTAAACATTTTTTTAATATGTTATGTTTCGGCTTGGGTCTAATTGTCCACGCTCAACTGACGTTGGCTGTAATTGGCCACGGTCCCCCTTACGTCGTGGCAAGCTTCGGGGCCACTTCCTGGAGTCGTGGAGTTCTGCCATTACTAGTACGGTACATTTCATTAAAGCGTGTTTAAAAAAAATATTTACATTACTTATTCTGTTTAGATGGAGATGGGAAATCATGATGGAGCAATGTCTTGACTCGCTGGTGGCCCTGAGGTATGGGACGATACGTGAAAATGTACGCATGGCCCGACGTCTTTGCAAAACGGCGGTTGCAACCGCGCGCACAAATATTTTGGCTGATAAATTTTTTTTCACTTTACAATTAAAGCACAGCTGCGTGCAATTAAAAATACACTAATCAATCGGAAATGGTCATGTTTGTGAACATCTGTGCATGATCAAGGATGAACCGCCTACAAATACTGCACTGGGTGTGGGCGGTTTATCGGTTAGGCCGCATGTGTGACAGCCGAATATGCGACATTGTACTGGATGTGATTTTTTTTTATGCTGATGTACGCGTTGCTACCTTGGTGATCTAGTTAAAACGCTAAAGTTCAAAGTGTCTTCCTGCTCGAATGAACATTACACTGGAACTCCTCTCTCTTGGTGCCACTGAGCCAATGGTGGAAATTCCAAATTCACATGGAAGGGTCCTGTATCCATAAGTGGTCTACTCTTGGATTCCTACAAAGTGTTTCTCATTGTGTTGTTTCACTTCACCATCGAACGTATTATAAAACAATAATATCCCCCCTCCCCAAACGAGATATGAACCTGCAGCCTTCAGACTGCGAAGCCGAACGCCCTAAATAACCCACAGTGCCACTTTGCGCGAGATCCTCGGAATCATGGCAACGGCGACGATCGCCATTGGCTCTGACGCACGTTCCGCCATCCCTCCCCTCTCGGCGGAATCGCTCTCACCGCTTTACGTCTCGGAGGCCGGTCGCCGGGTGTTTTGAACGGGGAAGGGGACTCCGTTACCGTTAGGGCAGAGCAGCGCGGCACAGTTGTCTCACTTTGTCTCCCGCGATTGCCTTACCCAGCGCGCTTTACGGAGGGGGGGGGGGGGGCTTCCCTCGCGGCCGCGCGTTTTCGCAACGGCATCATGTTCGTTCTGTCCTCGAATGCAGCCATCCAGTGGTACACATTAGGGCCTAATCTCATGCTCAAGAAGAAGAAGAATTACTATTTACAGCCCTTTCGTCAATCCACTCCCGGATTATTTTAATCGTGTGCAATTGTGTACAACAGCCGTGTCAGACATGAGTACATCCATAATCGGCATTAATCATTGGTTCACTGCAGCTCACAAGACTCGATCCCTGCGAGGCGTGCGGCAGAGTTAGGAGATGGCCATGTGGTGCTCGGCATTTGAAGGCCTGAAGACTCGGAATCATCGGTGATCTCGCCGACAGTGTGTTCAGGGAGAGGCAGTTCCATATCCGGACAGCAGAATGAATGGGAGCTTCTGTCGAGGGAGCACGTTCTGGATGAAGGCCCCCCCCCCCCCCCCGCTCCTCACGTCGGTGTAGGTCATGGAGGTTGTGTTGACCGTGCTTTGCCATGTCGGTTGTGGGGGCGGTGTTGGGAAGTGTTGGGGCAGTGGCTGCGAGGATCGGTTCAGATATCGCTCGCCGCTGGTGTTAACCACGGACAGGAATCCGTCGCAGGGTCCCCGCCGGGTTCATTGTGCAAAGTGCGAACACAAAGTCTTGCCACCGTTCCACCCATAATTAATGTTACGTGCCGTTAAAGTGCTCTGGTTTTTTTTTCCCACCGTGAAGTCGTTAGTTGTAGATGCCGAGAGTAATTCACACTTACAGGAATCACAATGAATTTTTTTTTAAATCTCAATTAAGCCTGAGATCAGAGCTTAATTTGAGCCGGAACTGTGTCTGGGTTGGCATCCGGAAAAAAATATCTGCATCCCCAGAGCACCACCTCTCGCTAGGGCCTGTGGCTACCAGTCACGTGCCTACTCCAGTTCCACCAATGAACCAAAAAATATTCGGTAAGAATTAAACCCTGCGTGGGGGACGGTGCTTATACAGGTTGCTTACAAAATATTTTAACACTTACAGTGAGGGGAAAAAGTATTTGATCCCCTGCTGATTTTGATCTCTATAAATAGATGTGCGTTTCGTGGCCATTTCACTGTCGATAGCACGCCCTGCCCAGCCAACTGTACCTTGGGGCCCATGAGATGTAATCTGTCACATGCGTGTTTGTGAAGCGGCAGAAAGAAAAAAAAGTACATTGTGACAACGCCACGTCTTATCATTTTCCCCTCTGTCGTCTCTCAGTTGCCGCGGTCGCAGGACAATTATCGTCATTATATTTTGGTGGGGGGGGTGGGTGGAGGTAAGCGGACTTTTGAGCCGCGATAACAGTGATTGACGATAGCTCTCCGAAGTGTTTTGGGTTTGTGCGCCTGCTTTTGTTTGGCACGATGTCTGATGTTACTTTTCCACCATTTTGGAAGCTTTGTCAGGAACCGAATTCTGTAAGTTAAAGCTCCCCAACAGGTGGAGTGAAATGTCGGCCATCGTGCCGATCAACACGCGATACATCGCGAAAATACATCGGAGGACGGTACAGCACAACCGCGAAAACCTATGGCATCGTAATGGTGGCAAGATGTTAACGACCTCGCCTGGTATACAGGAGGGATGGGGGTTCGATCCCGACCCTGACGTGTAGTTTTACATGTTCTCTCCGTGGTTGCGTGGATTTTTCCCCAGGCCCTCTGGGTTTTGTCTCTCCACATTTCAAATCAAAGTCACGCGTTTAAGAGTATTTGGCTGCTACTTCGTGGTTTATCAAGGCCCCAGAGTATCACGGTTTGGCTCCCGTTGGGCACGGCGAACAGCCAATGCAAAGACCACCCATACCATCGAGGCATCGCGTTGGCTCGGCTTAGATGTGCCAGCGGAAAAGAAGGGGTCTCTGTTGTGACTCCACATGCACGGGGGGGTGGGGAGGGGGTCCATTGTTTTTGTCGTCCTTAAAGCCATGTGCTCACACCACTGTCTCTCCCCTCCCCACCCTGGGCCTGTTGTTTCTCTGCCTGCAGGTCCTTTCAGCCCTCGACATCCTGCAGCCGCCCCACCTCGACTACTTTGAAGAAATGTATCCTTTTGGGAGGTGCACGCCGGTTGGTCTAAGTGTAGTGTATGTCGACTGATGCGCACGTACAACGTTTAGGAGGCAACGCGTTTATTAAACAATTCACTTTACACCGAGTTCTGTTGCTCAGTGTGGCCAACTTGTTCTAGGCTGCTCACTATCTGCCTGTCTGTTAACTCTCTTCATCCCCGAACGATCCCCGAACACGCTCCCCTTTTATCCCTTGGCCCCGGGCCCCCGCCCCTTGCTGTATCAAGGACGGTGCCCCCGCTGCCGGCCACGTGTCCTTAACTCCTCCAATCGACACACCGCTTCAGGTCACGTGCCCTTAGCTCGTCCAATCGAGGCACCGCTTTCGGCCACGTGTCCTTAACTCGTCCAATCGGGACACCCGGCGCTCCTCCAGCACTGTGGCTGTATTCACGACACTACATAAGTACCCTTTTGGGTCTTTCCGTAAAGTCGCGTACATAGGACGATTGCTTGTGTTGTGTTTGAAACGTGATTTTTTATGATTTTTCTATCTACGTGACTTTACCTAAAGACCCAAAGAGTGAATTCCTGCAGTCACGAAAGCTTTAAGGTGCTACAGTGAGGGAAAAAAGTATTTGATCCCCTGCTGATTTTGTACGTTTGCCCACTGACAAAGAAATGATCAGTCTATAATTTTAATGGTAGGTTTATTTGAACAGTGAGAAACAGAATAACAACAAAAAAATCCAGAAGAACGCATGTCAAAAATGTTATAAATTGATTGCATTTTAATGAGGAAAATAAGTATTTGACCCCTCTGCAAAACATGACTTGGTACTTGGTGGCAAAACCCTTGTTGGCAATCACAGAGGTCAGACGTTTCTTGTAGTTGGCCACCAGGTTTGCACACATCTCAGGAGGGATTTTGTCCCACTCCTCTTTACAGATCTTCTCCAAGTGATTAAGGTTTCGAAGCTGACGTTTGGCAACTCGAACCTTCAGCTCCCTCCACAGATTTTCTATGGGATTAAGGTCTGGAGACTGGCTAGGCCACTCCAGGACCTTAATTTGCTTCTTCTTGAGCCACTCCTTTGTTGCCTTGGCCATGTGTTTTGGGTCATTGTCATGCTGGAATACCTATCCACGACCCATTTTCAATGCCCTGGCTGAGGGAAGGAGGTTCTCACCCAAGATTTTGACGGTACATGGCCCCGTCCATCGTCCCTTTGCGGTGAAGTTGTCCTGTCCCCTTAGCCGAAAAACACCCTCAAAGCATAATGTTTCCACCTCCATGTTTGACGGTGGGGATGGTGTTCTTGGGGTCATAGGCAGCATTCCTCCTCCTCCAAACACGGCGAGTTGAGTTGATGCCAAAGAGCTCCATTTTGGTCTCATCTGACTACAACACTTTCACCCAGTTGTCCTCTGAATCATTCATATGTTCATTGGCAAATTTCAGACGGGCATGTATATGTGCTTTCTTGAGCAGGGGGGACCTTGCGGGCGCTGCAGGATTTCAATCCTTCACGGCGTAGTGTGTTACCAATTGTTTTCTTGGTGACTATGGTCCCAGCTGCCTTGAGATCATTGACCAAGATCCTCCCGTGTAGTTCTGGGCTGATTCCTCACCGTTCTCATGATCATTGCAACTCCACAAGGTGAAATCTTGCATGGAGCCCCAGGCCGAGGGAGATTGAGAGTTCTTTTGTTTCTCTTCCATTTGTGAATAATCGCACCAACTGTTGTCACCTTCTCACCAAGCTGCTTGGCAATGGTCTTGTAGCCCATTCCAGCTTTCTGTAGGTCTATAATCTTGTCCCTGACATCCTTGGAGAGCTCTTTGGTCATGGCCATGGTGGAGAGTTTGGAATCTGATTGTTTGATTGCTTCTGTGGATAGGTGTCTTTTATACAGGTAACAAGCTGAGATTAGGAGCACTCCCTTTAAGGGTGTGCTCCTAATCTCAGCTCGTTACTTGTATAAAAGACATCTGGGAGCCAGAACTCTTTCTGATTGAGAGGGGGTCAAATACTTATTTTCCTCATTAAAATGCAGATCAATTTATAACATTTTTGACATGCGTTTTTCTGGATTTTTGTTGTTATTCTGTCTCTCACTGTTTAAATAAACCTACCATTAAAATTATAGACTGATAATTTCTTTGTCAGTGGGCAAGCGTACAAAATCGGCAGGGGATCAAATACTTTTTTCCTTCACTGTACATAAGTCCGTGTGTGTGTGCACGTACAATGGGGAGCGGTGGTGTAACGGTTACCGCGCTGCGCTACGAACCCGGCGACCCGGATTCAATTCCCGCTCACGGCCAACACCAGTGACAATTATCTGAACCGGTCCTGGGCTTCCCCTAGGTCGACTCAGCCTCAAATGAGTACCTACTAGGGTGTGTAAATATCGCCACTGGGGAGACAATGGTGGTCGGGTGTGGTTGCTAGCCAAACACCTGCGCGTGTGCCACTGTTCCGGCCTACATAGGTGCTCGCTAACAGCACTTGCCGCAACAGTCTGTGAAGGCTATACGGGGAATCTTTGCGCGCGTCTTTGACCATTGTGGGGAGCGGCAGTATCACGGATAGCTCACTGCGCTGTGAAGTTTGGTGGTGTCTCCCTGACCACCCCCCCCCCCCCCCCCCCCCCCCCCCCCGTCGTGTGCAGTTACGGCCTAAATCAGGTCTTCACCAACAGCACTTGCCCAACATCCTGTGTGGGCTCTATACAGAGTGGTCTTTGTCATTGTTTGACCATCCCCGGACTCAAAAGGGGGAAGGTCGGGAGTTCAAATCCCAGTAGGGGGTTTATTCGGCCCATCATCCCCGCAGAGTCATAAAACATGGTTACTGATTTGTCCTATTTTCTACGTCTACACAATTGCGCTGCCGCTCAAGCGAGAGCACTGCTTTGGAAGGAAGCTCACCGGTGGTCGTTCTTTGGATCCACTCGGCCCCGCTATAGGAATGTGGAATGGTCACTCATCAGAAACGAGCCCCCAATCTGGTGATCGCCGCCCCGGTGGGAGAGGCGTGTTTTGGACGCGGGCAGAAACTGCAGACGATGTGTGGTGACAAGGATGGCACCAGGGGGAACTCGTCCCATCGCGGACGAACGCGCACAGTCTGTACCCTGCGCCTGAGCTCGCGGGGGCGTTTGTTGGGCGGCGGTGTTTCGCGCAAATTCCCTTTCAAGTGCCGCTCGTGGCTGTGAACCTCCGGGGGTGGGTGCCTCATCCCGGTAGCCGGGAAGCACCGTTCGCTCGCTCGTGTGAGCTGCTCGTCTCGGCTCGCCTTGGCTCAAATCGGCACGCTCCTGCGAGGTCGCGCCACCGCAGTCGTCGTCGTCGTCACGCCTGGTTCGCTTCGGCCGCGCGGTGTTCACTTTCTGTCTTCAAGCACGCGACGACGCGTTGAAACTCGATCGTTCTTTTTCTTTTTTTGCGATGAAGAGTAGCCCGGAAGGACATGGTTACCGTCGGTCGCGTTTTTTGGGTGAGCGGGCGGTTACCTTGGTTGGCCCCCAGTTTGTGGGAATCCCCGACCATTGGACATCAGCCTTACGGACAAAACAGCTTTCTTCTAATTATTCCTGTCCCTCTCTGGTTCTCACTCTGCCATTCCACTTCCTTCTTTATTATCAGCGTCGTTTTTTTTCTCTCGCACTCATGGCGCCTTGAGACATTACCGTGACAGGTACTTCATTAGCGCTGATTATTATTCTTATTCGTAATAATCGGAGGCCTTTCTGTGCAGTGCTCCGGACATGGCGTCCCATCGCGAGCTCCACCAGCGTGTTCCATCTCGTCCTCTGTAATATTGTAAATGTTACCGTTAATCAAAATGTTAACATCAGTCGAAACCATGGGGGTCCTATGGGAGGCGAGACGTCAACCGAAAAAAAACGTTAAATAATGTCACTATTAACCGAGGGACTTCTGTATTCTCAAACAAGAGAGGGAGGGATACTGGTGTGTGCGTGTATATATATATTTGCTACCCTGAGCCTTTGATAGAGATGCAACCATCCCACGGGAGTGGGTGAGGTTTTCCGGGGGATAACCACTGTTGACTACCCAGGCAAATTTTAGCTCGTTTTACCAGCCATGGCAAGGATGAGGCCTGTCCAGGATCGGTGGGTCAAACACTACTACCCGCCTGGGATTTTCCACGGCACAGCTCCGTCGGTGACGAGTGGCCGGGTTTGCGCATCGCTCCACGTTACACCGCACCCTCCTGGGCTGACAACTGGAACCTGTCTTCTGGTCCGTTCATTTGCTCAAGCAGCCCAGGGAAATTGGGTTACAGGCTCCTGTGACACACGGGTGGGTAAGCAGATAGACAAACACAAATCCCCCACAAATAGTCGCACAAGACTGTTAGTGCAAGTGTTGTTTCCGATCACCTTTTGAAGGCCGGAACGGGCGCACGAGAGTGGTGTGGGCAGCCCCACGCCCAGCCGCCTTTGTCTCCCCAGTGCCCATGTTTTACGCGTCGCGCTAGGCGCGCGTGTCGGGCAAACGAACGCACGAGCGCACACCCGTGGCAGGGCTGCCCATTACCCCGCGCCAGGCCGGATGGGAGATAAAACGAGGTTCCGCATTTTCTCTGCATTTGTTTACTAATGCCCTTCTTGGATCGCAGGCTGGTGGGGGGGGGGAGGTAGGGGGCAAGGATTGTCGCCTTCTAACGGGGGAGCGTTAATTTGGGAGCGATTGTTGCAAAAATGGCAGCGCGTGGTCGGGGGTGCCGGCTATTTTTATCCCAGCGCAGCAGCCGCTAAATAAAGAATGATCTAATATCGTGCCTTTTTATTATTAGGGGGTGAATTATTAACACGGGATGGTTGAGCAAAAACACAACACGATATTTATTTAATGTGAGAAAAACAGCTCTGTAGGAGGCGACGCACGCATATCTGCGGCCTGCGTGTAGATGTGAGCCACTCTTACTGCCTCTGCAGCATCGCCTCCCTCCTCTGTTCCTCTCTCGGTGACATTTCTGACGTCCCTTCGTCTCTCTCTC